GCCTTCTCTGCGGCTCTGCTTAGGCGTTTCCCGCCCAGGGGAGCCTGGTGAGTGCACAGGTGTTTTCCCCATCCAGTTGGTGAAAGAGCCAGACTTTTTGCGACTCCATGAATCTGAAGCCCACCAGGCTCCTCTCTCCATAGAATTTGCCAGGCAAGAATACTGGAGCCGGTTGCCATTTCCTAGGGATCCAACCAGCGTCTCCTGCACTGGCGAGGGGATTCTTTACCACCTGGGAAGACCTCCCTACCCCTACCTGGATTGTAAACTCAAATCAGGAATCATGTCAGTACTCAGTTTTTCCCCAGTACCTAGCACATGGCAGTGTTAGGCACTTAGTCCTGTCTGACGTTTTGCCACCCCATGGACTGTAACACATGGAATTGTCCAGGCAAGAAAACTGGAGTGGGTTGCCATTTCCTTCTCCAGGGGATGTTCCCGACACAGGGATCGAACCCAGATCTCCCACTTTTCAGGCAGATTCTAGCACATGGTAGATAGTCAGTATTGTTTAAGGCATTAGTAAGTACAGTTTCGATTCCCAATTTCATTCGTTTACGCTTTTCTGTATTTAACTTCAGAATTATTCATTTGGATCCTAATAGAGAAATATGGTTCACTTGCCATATATAGAATCACACAGTCAAGCATAAATCACCTGTGGCCCCTTCCTGGCCTCAAGTTGAGAGGGCAAGTGGACCAAGAAAATCTGGGCAGCAACTCCATCTATATCCTGTAATTAGGATCTGAAGTCAATAATGTAAGTGGATTTTGGATTTATTCTAAGGATCTAAGTACCTTTGTGTATTTTATCATGGCTGCTATGGACTGAGTTGTGTTCCCCTCTCAAAATTCATATGTTGAAGCTCTAACCCCCCAATGTGAGTGTATTTGGAGACAAGACCTTTCAGAGATAGTTTAGGTTAACTGAGGTGATAAGAGTGGGGCCCTAATCCTATAGAATTAGTGTCCTTTATAAGAAGTGACTGCAGAGACATAGACGCTGTCTTGCTGTCTGTCCTCACAACTAGAAGACACAGTGAGAAGGCAGCCATGTGCAAACCAGGAAGAGGGCGTTCACCAGAAACTAACCATGCTGGCATCCAGACATGAGACTTCCAATCTCCAAAACTGTGACATGTTAAATTGTTGTTGTTTAAGCCACCCAGTCTATGGCATTTTGTTATAGCAGCCCACACTATTGTTATAGCTCTAACACAATAGTTTTATTTGTTGATAAATCTTATAAAGTTTATGGATTGAGATATTTCATTCATTTTTTGAAGCTGTATAAACCCATTGTCCAGAGGTTGAAACTATTTCTCCAAAATAGTTTCACACAACAAACTGTTAGGTACACCTGGCTCATAACAAACTTAGCTATACCTGGCTTGTTTCAACTTTAGTTTTTTAACATGTGATGGGATAAGGGGAATGTGAATACAAATATAACAGGTAAAATAGTCCTTGCTATCAGGTAGCTTAGACCACTTCCATAAATGGGGAAAATAAACCCAGAAAAAAAATATGCTGAAGTCGTAACTTTAGATTTTATTCTGTAAGGGATTATGTATTTTGAATGGGTCAGTGATCTGAACAGACTGTGAGATTTTGATTCAGATCTCTTAACTACTGTGGGCCATCTGTTTAAGTAATAGAAGAAGTAAGGGGGAGAACTTTTTCATAAAAGGATTTTAGTTTCCTGTAAATACGTGTTTTCCTTTTAACTTTTCTTTAAATGTTCCCTAATCACCCTATTCTTACCAGGAACTCTTGAGAAAGAAAGAAAGAAAAACTCAAAAAATATAAGAGAAAGAGAAGGAATTGAAGAATAAAAATAAGGAAACAACAATGAGAGGAAAGCATTGGGGTAGATAGACAGGAAGTCATGTATGAAATTGCTCTATAGTATACTTAGAATTATGGACCCCATGTTTGTAAGGGGTGGGTGTTGTCCCAGAGACCTTTCACACTGTCTCCCCAGCTTCCAAATAGAAACATGTGCTTGACTTCTTCTTCCTCTCTTTTAGCAGAACTCAAACCAAAAATGGGAATCAACCCTGCTAATTAGTTCTGAGTGGACTAGCCAGAATCAGGCAACAACATTTAGGTCAAAACTTATGACCTATGGACTAGAAATGGGGTTTCAGATACAGGTAGCTAATCAATCTAGGATAAGAACACATAGGTAGTTCACTTCATTCATCCCAGAGGAAAGAATTTGGGAAGACAAGGAAAGGAAAAATGAGCCTCCGTGTGTCAAGACCTTTCCCAGAAAACTATTGAGGACTTGTAGTTAGACATGATTAGAGAGAATGATCTGGTTTAATATCACTGTAAGGACTATGTAGGACAAAACAAACAGAAACAAAATCCTACCTACTAAATCAGTAAGAAGTCACTAATCACATGCTTGCCTGTGAAGTGTAGAAATTAGTGAACTCTAATAACTAAATTGGAGAAGGCAATGGCACCCCACTCCATTACTCTTGCCTGGAAAATCCCATGGACGGAGGAGCCTGGTAGGCTGCCGTCCATGGGGTCGCAAAGAGTCGGACACGACTAAGCAACTTGACTCTCACTTTTCACTTTCCTGCATTGGAGAAGGAAATAGCAACCCACTCCAGTGTTCTTGCCTGGAGAATCCCAGGGATGGGGGAGCCTGGTGTTCTGCCGTCTATGGGGTCACACAGAGTCGGACATGACTGAAGTGACTTAGCAGCAGCAGCAGCAGCAGTAACTAAATTCACTTTCTGGGTTGAGTAGTATTACTGTTTTATGGGAATTAATTAAACAAAAATTTATTGAGTTCACTCTGTGTTAAGCACTACAATACATACCAGAGATCTAAAAATCAGTCTTAAAGGAGCTCCATCCAATGTCAGAGAATGAAATTTCAACTGATGCTTATTATTTGTATAGTAAATACAGCAATAGATGTCTACAGGGAGACATTAGGCCACAATGCGAGGGGAGGTGTGTGTGTGGTCAAGAGAGTCAAGGTAAACAAGTACGCAACGAAGAGAAGGGCTTTTCATATAGAGGGGCCTCCATAAATTTTTTTTAATTTTTTAAAAAAGGAAGTACACAACAGTAGAATATTGCTAGAGCAAAAGATGACAAAGTGTAGGCAAGAGTGGGTTAAACAAGTTAAGGGCCTTTGTTTTTATACTATAGGCAATGAGAAGTCATCAAAGAGTTTTCTTAACAGCACTTTAAACTGTCATTCTGTTGCTTTCTGGCCTCCACTGTTTCTGATGAGAAGCTGGCTGTAATTCTTATTGTATTCTGTATTGTATTCTGTAGGTCAGGCTGCTTTTAAGGTTTGTTTCTTTATCTTAGTTTATCAGCAGTTACAGTATGTTTCCAGGTGTGGTTTTCTTTGTATTTATGCTGCTGGGGGGTTCACTTATTTCCCTGGATGTGTGGCTTGCTGGTTATTGTATCTTTTTATTGAATTTGGAAGACTCTTGGCCAGCATTTCTTCAAGTATTTTTTTCTGCCCATTCTCTCTTTCTCTGTGACTATACTTAAATTTATGCTAGATTTCTTACTCCTTAGTACAGGTCATTCTAAGACCTCTTCATTTTTTTACAAATCTTTTTGTTTCTTTGCTTCAATTTGCATAATTTCTATTGAGAGCCAGTAATTCCTGAAAAATCTGAATGTTAAAATTTTCCCCAAAACACAAACACCCTACAAGTGGCTGTGGGTTCCTTTGGGGTATATCCAAAGGCATGTTAGTCAAGAGAACAGAAATAAAAAGATATTCCAACAGAGAACAGAACTTACTACTGGGTGTTGATGGACTGGAAAAGCAAAAACAGAACACTGAAGTAGCCCAGATGTGGTAACTACAGAGAGCAGCTATCACCTCTAACCTAGCGAGACACCAGCTGGCATAGGAAAAATGTTGTTTGCAGGGTCTGAGCCATAGCATCACATAGGAAAGTTATAGATGAGTGTATCTGAAGTTAAGATAGCTCAATAACAATAACTTAATAACCAGTAGCATATCAACATTTGTTTGTGCTAAATTAGTAAAAACTTCCCAAAGTGGATCCAAATTAATGCTACCTTATGCAGTTTTACAGACTTTTAGCTCTTTTGAAAAGAATCCAGTACACGAAGTTTTCAGTTTTCTGCTGTACTATGATTACTGTTAGTGTCTTTTCCAGGAGTAAGGAGTGCCTTTGCTGCAGTTCACACACATACTTGGTACAAAATCATAAACAAGGGCAGGTTTGGAAGAGATTGGCATAACTGAGGATGAGTAGACCCTCCTGCAGCATTCGGTCTCACACCATACAGCACAAAATGGCATAGACTAAGTAGAGCTGGCAGGAATCCATATTCTCCCTACCTCCATTTCCTATGCATTGCCTGATATGGCCAGAGCAAGGGGAAGACAGTTTCCTCTCCTAAGGCAGGACGACCACCATTGCCAGTAAAAAACCAACTCCTTTCCTTTGTTTCCTCTTTCTTGCCTCAACTCCAGCTACTTTACCCAGCCCAATCATCTGTAGGTCCCTAATGCAAACAGATGACAAAAACAGGGCTTGGTATTCAGCATTTCATCTTATAGAGTTCTGAATATTGAAGGATTTTTGTTGAACACTTATAGAACATTGGACAGGAACATTTTTCTAACTTCTTAATCTCTAGGACTGCTGAATTTCCACTGGAAAGGAGTCATTTCTTCAAGTCTTATGTTCTTTAGTGCTAAAAGTTGACATTCTCTACCACCTTTTATTATTTATAATAAATAATAATTTTATAATAAAAATTACCTTTTATTGTTAACAGCAAAGAGACCAGATTCATGATATTCCACATAATTTAATATTTAGAAGACTAGAATAAATTTTTCTACATCTGCATATATTAATTATATATAGCACTCTGTCAGTTATACAACACAAAAAAACATGTATAGGTGAACATTAAAATGGCAGTGTACCTATTAGTAACTGAACATTAACAAGATAATAATTAAGTAGTCATTTAATGGGAGAGTCTAGTATTTCCTGATAATCCTGCCTTCTTAAATCCCTCCAGTAAAGTTTATAGCCAGCAAGGACAAAAACACTAATCATAATGATTACCCCTCCAAAGACATCATAGACACTAGGAAATATATGTAGCACTAGAAGCTGCAACACCATTGCTACCACAATCTCCAGATGTTGTACTGTGCTGACCAAAGCTGGATGGAATTTGTCTAAAGCATAATAAACTCCCAAAAAGGCTGCAGTAGAACAAATGCATATAGCAATTAGATAACTCCAAGTTTCTCCATCTAATGGAATGATGGGTTCTTGAAGAACAAACATAGTAGATATTCCCCAGACTGTCCCGGTCCAACCAAATGTAAACAGTGCAGTCCACATGCTGATCTTCTCCTTAATGGATCTGTATACTATCATGGAAAGAGCAGTGGTCAGTCCAGCCATCACAGTCATAGTGTACCCAAAGGCTTCTTTCCAGGCATTTAACAAAGAATTATCTTCATCAACAATGTTGGGGATCATGACAAGACAAACACCTAAGATGCTGCAAACAACTGTAACCATGTCAACATAAGCCATTTTCTCATCTACAAGTAAAAAAGCCAAAATGGCACTGAAGACGGTGGTTGTGGCTCTCCACATAGTGGTCCCGTTGCTGGGAGGAACTATTGAAAATGATGTATAAGCACAGGTGATAGAAATGACATTGCATACACCGTAAAAGAAAAGTCGCAGTCTGTATCCACTTGGTCCAAAGGGGGCTTCCTGGTAGTAACACACAACTAACACAGATAAGACCTGCAAAACAGAACGGATAAAAATCAGTTCTAGAGATGGAACTTTGGAACGATCGGAAACAAGCCTAGTGATAAGAGCTACACATCCGTGAGCCAAAGCAGATCCAAACAGCACTATCCACATTTTTCTGGATTGAAAAATATTTTTTTCTGCAAAGCTTTGGAACTGTCCAATCTCATTGGTCACTGGGTCTTCTGTTGGAGGGCGGGTATCCGTGGTTCCAAAGAAGGTTCTTCCTTTTCTTTTCATTTCACTCAGCAGGCCTTTCTTTGGATTTTCTTCCATAAAACTTCCATAGTCTTCATTGATTTCTTCATATCCACCATCCCCAGGCTGAGGATAATGAGACGTATATTTCACCATGACTGTGTTTGGATGTATTTTCACCCGTTTTTTAACTGGATATTTTTTGGAGGGAGAAGTATCCATTTCTCCAGGCAATCAATTCTATTTAAGAAGGAAAAAAAGACAAATGTACATGTTCATCAGTTGAATTATAGTTTTAAATTCCATTATAATCTCATGCATCAATTCAATAATAGAAAGCAGAGGTTGTAACAAGAGGTTTTTTTCCCCTAAAGTAATAGGAAGAGATGATCTAACAATATGCCTTATCAGTATACAAGCCCCAATGAAATTGTCTACCCTTTTTTCACTCTCATCCTAAGTCAGCCCCAATTTCTCATCATGATTATTCTTTGTCTCATTAAACTATATTTCTTTAAATAATAAATAACTGATTTTTTCCATTTTTTCATTCCTACCTCCCTATCAACCCAATAAGATAAACACAGAAAAATAAATAACAAGGTAGATCAAACCTTTCCTTCTGATTGTGTCCATTTGTCTATAAGTTATTAAGTCCAAATTCTTTTGTATAATCACTTCTGTATGATACCAAAACTAGTAGTATGAATTATGATTTTTTAAACATTCATTCTGGATCCCCATACATCTTCAGATATATGGAATGCTGAAATTAGAAAATAAAATGGACTTTGTGACATTGATGCACTGTTGCTATATACAATTTTTCTGATGAGCAACTGAGCAATAGGTTTAAGATTCTAACCGAAACTACTACTAATTCAGCAATATCACATCTAAGATTTTACCCTAAAGAGATGAACACAAGATGCTTTTTACCTTATGTGTTTTTTAAGAAAGGAAAAATAAGAGTATACATTTGTTTATATAATATAAAAAGTATAACAAAGGAATTATAGAAACATACAAAGGAAACTAATCATTGAGGTGGGACAGGAAATAAGAATAGAAAGAAAACATTTTGTATACTTTTTAATACATTATTTGAATCATGATAATTGTTTAAATTTTTTTTAAAAGTTCATCTGGTATTGAGAAAAGAGAGCACATAAAAAGGTTGGGAAAATGTATGAACAGGAGACTTCACTGTAGCGCACCAGAATGACCCTCCGCACTACACTATGCATCCGTTTAAAATAATAATGCTAATCTTTACTGATGTAGAAAGATGTCCATGTTGTATGAAGGATTTGCCATGGTGCTGGCATATAGTAAAATCTCAAAGAATATTAATAAATTCAGCTTCCTTTCACCTATAATTAACTCTTTTGAAACACTGGGTGTCTTCTACAATGTTAATCTTTCTTTGAGACCAGTATTTGTTCATTCAGTTCTCTTTAGTTCTTTCCCTCTCCCCAAGAACAATTTGCCATTTCCTTCCCAGTGATTTCTTCCCCCCAAAACAAAAAAAAAATTAAAAAGGAAACCTTTTTATTTTTTGTCTTCATGACATATTTCCCTTGTTCATTGCCAAAAACTCATCAGTTCCAGGATCTTAAACCATGGTCCAGAAATCAAATCCCATTTTGTTCTTTAACACCATCTGGGTAAACCAACTGTTCCTATTTATTCATTTCTCTTTTAAATAACATTACCTTCAGGTGGAAGGGTCATTTTAAAAAACACCACCTAGGCCTCCAAGTCCTCCAGTTCCTGGCCTGGATCTCCAACTTGCATGCATAATGGATGCATAATTAGATCTTCCAACTTCATGCATAATGGATGCATAATTGGATCTTTCAACTTCATGCATAATGCTATCAAACTAATCTGGATGTTCTCTTTTTTTCAACTTTTATCAGGATATTTCCACTTTGAATCATTACTTTAGCTTTAGTCACAAACTGAATTAACAGTCTTGGTCTCCCAAATGGACGTTCTGTCCCTAAATTCCTCATTTATGTTTGAAATACCACCATCTTTCTAGTTCCCCAAGCTAGAAACCAAGGAACACTCAATTATTCTTTCTGCCATCACACTTCATTTGGTCATCAATTTTATTGTTTTTGTCTCTGAAATATTTCTCAGACTTTTCCTTTCTCGTCCAATTTATTTTACCTTTTGAATCTAGATCAGATTTTTGTGAATTCCCATCTAGCATATTGCAACAGCATCATAACTAGTCCCCTTGAATCCTAGTCCTTCTCTTCTAAAATCCAACTATATTATACTACTGTCACGTTAATGCCTTTAAAAGACTCAAACAAAACAAAAAACTTCCCTTAAGCTTTCCCCATTCAAGAACATACAACATTTCCTACCAACTACCTCACCGAGTCTCAACTCCACTGCTTAGCTCTCAAGACCCTGCCTAGCCTTGCCCCTATCAATACTTAGCTCCTTGACAGAGACTTCACTCCAGTGTTCTCCCTGTCCTGATGCCCCACATTACATGTTTCTCTTAAGTCTTTATTCCTACTAGTTTCCCCTCTGCTCCCGCTTTATAAACACTGCTCATCTTTTAAGAAGGCCCAGTCCAAATCCTGCCTTTTAGAAACAAGCCTTCCCTGACCACTCTGTCACTTTTTTTTCTTCCTTATTTAACATCTGCAATAGTTCTTCTAATTTTTGTAATCTCATCACTTTGTTATTTACTTGTCTCAACTCAGTGGAATTTTATCTGTAGTCATTGTACCCAAATTTGCTGTTAAATCACCTTTCCTTGCTAGTCAGCAAGTATCTTTTTTTTTTCAGCAAGTATCTTAATGACATCTCATAACTTCCTATTTGCTTAAAATTGTTAAAATTGTGGCTTATATCCTTCAAAGCTTTTCCCTTCCCACTGCAGGCAGATTTCTAGTCCCAGGAGCACAAATAGGGGAAGGACACATCTGCTGTTTTACTCCTTCTGAGAGAAAGGAGCTAGGCTCCAGCTTCCCTGGTGTATTGGCACAGGGAGGAAGGGAAAGGACACATGTCTCAGACGTTGGTTGCTGCTGTGTGATGGCTTTTGGATGTATAAACTTGGCTAGGCTGAACTACATTCCCGAGTTGTTTAATCTAACACTAATCTATGTGCTGCTATGAAGGTTTTTGCAGATGTGACAGACGTTCCTAATCAGCTGACTTTAAGTTAATAAAAGAAAGACTATCCTCGGTGAAGTGAAGTGAAAGTCACTCAGTTGTGTCTGACTCTTTTCAACCCCATGGACTGTAGCCCATCAGGCCTCTCTGTCCATAGGATTTCCCAGGCAAGAATACTGGAGTGGGTTAACCTCTGACATAAACAAGTAAGCTCTTTCAAAAAGAGATTAGGCTTTCCATGAGCTCAGAAATTCCAAATAGTTCATGCCATTAGGGTTCCAGCCCTCTCATGACCTTCCTTCCTTACTACCTGTGGACAAGAAGCTTTGGCCTGTTATGGTTTCCAACATGCTCCTGATCTTTTCTTTCTGATTGCCTGCCCAACAGACCACAGACTTCGTTATCCAGCCCTGACAATTACATTAGCCAATTCCTTATAATAAATATCCTCCTGGTTCTGTGTCTCAGGTTGAACCCAGACTCTAATACATGGCGAAATTCTGTCTTTGATTGTTGTCTTTGTTTCTGTACTAACTCTAAAAGGCCACTGATAGTCTCTAGGTTGTAGACATCCAAATGCAGGCTATCTTGCATCAATTATTTAGTCTCCCCAGTGCACAAATCCTTGATGTAGGCTACTGTCAGCCACAGATTTTTGCTGTTTGGGTTCTCTTGCCTGTTGGGAAGTTCTCTTAGTGAGGCGCCAACAGTATTTACTTGACCCCAGGAAAGTCATATATCCTTACTACTCCAGTGAGTATTATATCAGCTACTCACCACTGCCCCCTTCTCTCCAACCTTACTTCTCTTTGCTCGAGCAAGTAAAGAGCAAATTAAAATGTGCTGTCTAAGCAGACTTTCAGTTGGAAGAAGAAAGCACACCCAATCGTTGTAAATAATGATTTGGTTACCTTCACCCTCAGTCAATTTTAAAGGGGAATATCACTCTCCCCTCCCCATTAGGAAAAGCACAATACTGTTCTTGGACCAAGGACCCATAACAGATATGATCCTTTTGACAGATTGTGTTTTCCAAAGAGAGCCACCAATCTAGTATCTCCCATACTACATGTCTAGTTTTTTTAAAATGTGAGTTTGACATTATTAAATAGAGAAGTAGGATCTATGCTCCTTCCCTTTAAAAGTAGCCCCACTTTTGTGACTGTTTCACCAGTAGAGTATGGCAGAAGTGACCTGTTACAACTTCTGAGATTAAGTCATAAATATAACTGTGCCTTCCTAGCTACAACACTTGTGCTTGGAGCTCTGAGCTACCAGGTCAGTAGTCTGACTGCTCAGAAGCCATCATGCAGTGAATAAGCTCAAACAAGCCATGTAAGGAAACCACATGGAGAGGTCCTGAGAAAACAGAGAGAAATTCCTGGTCAGCCCCAGGTGCTCCAGCCCCCTGCTGTTCCGAGACCAGCCACTCATCTGACTTTAAGTATATATGAGACCCTGAGTCAGAATTGCCCTTCCAAGGTACTTCCAAATTCCTGATCTTAGAAACCATGACAGATAGTAAAATGAGTGTTGTCATTTTAAGCTACTAAAGCTTTGGAGTGACTTGTTATCTGCAATGGATAACTGGAACACCCTATTTCCTTTCCCAGGATTTTAAGGAATGGGAAGGAGGAATGGTCTTAATGATAGTTTAAAGGCCTCTTATATTTGGACCAAATTGATTGGCTTTTGAAAGTCGGACATTTTGTCCCTTGTTGTGAGATCCTGGATTCTAATTCTGCGGTAAGAGGAAAGTTTTTTATTTTGTTTTCATTGAAGTATAGTTGATTTACAATGTGTTAGTTTCTGGTGTACAACAAAATAATTTTATTATATATATGTATATACATATATATGCACGTGTATAACTGAATCACTTTGAGATATATATATGTATACATACATATATATGAATGAAGAAGAAAATTTTATTCAGCATCCTGTTTGGCACAGATTAGTATATTTAATCCTAGTCCAACTGCATATTTTAAAGTATTATTTGAACTGTGTCATCTTTTTCATTTCAACACCTTTAATATTATATTGTATCCCACTAATGCAGAAGTCAGTCTTAT